CCCCGTTTAAATCCCTGCGGTTTTTTAAACGGGGACGGGTACCGGTTTTTTAAACGGGGACGGGGACGGAAGGACCAATACCCGGCCCGAACCCGGCCCGTTGCCATCCCTAGTCACTACCATGAACTTAAAAACCAATATTATAACAGTCAACGATGAAAAACGTTGGTTAAAGAATCACACTAAATTTATTTTCTGAATTAATTTATTTTCTGAATTAAAAATCACGTTAAAAGAAAAAATAATACAAAGATCATATTAGTTTCTTTTTAATTGCATGAAACTTTGATGTTTTTTTAACCAAAAGAAATCGAGTGTTTGACTTTAGGATATTGTAAGTTCAATTGACTCTTATGATCTTGCCACGTCAGACTATTGGATAGAAGTTAAAAGTGAATAAACTAAATATAAGTTTAAGGACTAAATTATAAGTTTATGGAGAGTAGAGGAACTTGGAGCATATTTAACCATATTAACTGCTAAGACACTGAATCCGAGAAGGTCATGTGCTTTCCCTCCCTAATACAAAAATTATTTCCTTCCATAAACTCAGCCGCGAAAGAGGAAGAAGAAAAAACCGAAATCTAAAGCCAATGTCTAAGCGGAGCCACCACTTGATGGAGCTCGGCTGCATCGCCTTCTATGATTTGACGGAATTCGGTGCCGGAAAGGAAGGTTGGCTAGCTCCTGATGCCGGCACCACCGTCCTCTGCGCTCTAGACGCCCATTCTCTCGCAATCGCTAACCGATCTCTTGTTCTCATCCTCGGATGGTCCGACCGGGATGAACAGAGAGTTAAGATCCGACCCGAACTATCACCTATCGAGGCAGAGCGCATCACGGCCATCGAGTGGCTGGTTTTCGATGATATTAAAGTGATTGCAGTCGGCACCTCCAGAGGATTCCTGCTGATTTACTCTTTGCGCGGTGATTTGATTCATAGACAGGTGATATTTCTATTTATTTTATTTTCTTCTTCTTCTTCTTCTTTTTTTTTAGTTTGCTTTGTTTGTAATTTGATATTTTCTTGAGAGGTTGGTTTAGACTCGAGAGAAAAATTATGTAATTTGATTAAATGAACAATGACTGAAAGAAAATGTTAACTATAGAGATAGTTATTTAATGTAAAAGTAGAATGATGCATTTGTTATCTTAAAAATTCCATTTTTATTGTTAATTCTTCAAAATTATTTTCATGTTATGCTTTTGGAAACAAGTAATAGAAGCATCTATAAAACTGTAGTGAGATGATTTCTAATTTATTCAATGCTGTTTTTTTTAATTTTATGCTTTTCCAACGTCATTAAGATACTGTTTCCATTGGGTTTATTGATGCTTAATGTTTTGTTGCATGCTAAGCTTGGTGTGTTAGAATGGAATAGCTCAATGGTCTTGCATGCCCCATGGTGGAAAATGAGCTTCTTGTAGTATAAAAGAAAAAAATTATGCAAAGTGAAATTAGCATCATTGGTGTTAATTTTTTTTAGCAAAGCGTAAACTTCATAGACTTATGTATTTCATAAAATAATGAGCCAGGTGAGATCTTATGTTTAAATCAGTTGTACTTGTATCTATTGTTGTTAGATGTAGATAAGTTTGATGTAAATTGTTGTTGGAAATGTAACTCGTATTTAATGTTTAATTTTATAGATGGTATATCACAGACAAATCATCAAGTTAAGAGTTCGTGGGACTAAGAAAGACCTGATGCGAGACATATCCTCAGAGGATGTATGTGTTGTCATGCCTGGTGTAATCGCTCGTTTTGATGGGTCTGATATTCAGGTGAGCTATTAGCTGCCTGAAAGTGTGATAGTTATTCTGAAAATGGCATGAATCTTTCATGTTTATTTTATGCAGAAGCAAAGTGTAGCAATGTGTATAAGTGGGACATGTTTGACTAACTCTGATTTACCTCTGGTATTGTAGAGTATGCTTCAAAGGTGGTTTCAAGATACACATTCTCATTTTTTTGATGCGAAACCGAAGGAAGATCTAGAGGACGATGGAAACTCTCATGGCAGATTGCCTTACCAGTTATGGAATGTTAGTAAGTATGGGTCATGTGTTGATGCATCAATCACTGGCATAATGCCTCCTCCACTCATGGAATTCCAGGTGTTCTTTCTTATGTTGCTTGATCTTATAAGCTCTTGATAAGATTGAAAATGTGCAATTACCAATTTTCATATTCTTAATTACTGGCTATTTGATCTTCGAATGCGCATGTGAAAAACTGCTTTTGCTGGTTCCCTCTTCATTTCTTGTTCCTTGTAGTACATTTTTATCTATGCTTTTGGTTTCTTCTCCAATGAATTATGGAAGTCCTCTGAAGTTATTCTGTTATATGAATTCAGCTGCTTTTATTGTTGGGCAGTCAAGTCAACATTACTACTGTGCACTCACCATTGGAGATGATGCTGTGATCTCAGCTTTCAGGTTAGTTTCTCTGCATTCGAGATATGATTTACCTTACACAAAAAGATGGATTCTTTTCTTCCTTTTTCTTTTGTTTTACTGATTAATTTCTTCTAACCTTGCTGAAGACTTTCAGTAGATAGGAAACGTTCCTTGGTAGGAACTATTTTGTCAAAAGTTATGCCTGCCACATTTTCCACTATTGCTTCCTTTTCAAAGATGGTATGGCGGAGTGAACCAACACCAAACAGGAAACCAGAAGAAAAGCTTCAATCATTTGCTCAAGGTGAAGTTTGCTATTTTTTTTCGTGTGATTCATTATTTGGTTTGGGTAGTGTCTTGTCCATGGTACTTTGATATTAATTAGGTTGAATCTCTGAAAGTGTGTGCTTGCCCAAAATCCATTTTGTCTTCTAATTATCCTTCAAGAAGTATTTTCTCGGAATCAAATTTTAGTGATTGAAGTTGATTTACTTTCATTTTACTGATCTTTAGTTCTAATTATCGCTTTGGTTCAATCACATTTCACAAGTATTTTTTGGCAATCTTATGTTTAAACATGGAAATGCTGCTTAGCTGCTTGCATCTTTCTCATCTCATTGTATTTACCAAGCTCATCTTTAGTCTCTTAATTTCATAATTTTCCTTCTCACTGTTGCACCTGCTTATTTATGCTGTTCATCTATGTGCTTATTCTTAACCATAGGTTCATCTTAGTGTGTTCTGATGTGCAGTTAAATATTTTAGTAGATAGAGAGTATTTAAGATAAAATTAATATGTTTCTATCATATTCTTAGATAATGAATTTGCAAGTTTATTGTGTCTTTATGTTGTGGTCTGAATATTAGCAGGCTAACTTAGCATACAAATCTTAACCCTTCTTTTAGTTATCCTTATTAATGTTTTTTCAAAACCTATTGTATAAGCCACTGATGTCATGATTTATGCCAGCTTCCCCATTGACATGTTTGAAGGACTACCCTAGAAAGGGTGAAAAGCTCACTTTATCACCCAGTCGCACTTTGGCCGCTATCACAGATTCACTCGGCCGAATATTGCTCTTAGATACTCAAGCCCTTGTAGTAGTGCGACTATGGAAGGTTTCTTTTGCTTTAACAATTCTGCATTTCTTGGAAATCAACAGCCCTTTTTCCTTGTCTTAGCATTGTTTTTCATGCACTCTTTTAGGGATATCGCGATGCAAACTGCTTTTTCATGGAAATGTTAGTCAATAGAGATGATAAACCTCCTAATTCCTCTCACCATGCACCAGGAAAGAGTGACTATTGCCTCTGTTTAGCCATTCATGCGCCCCGAAAAGGAATTATTGAGGTCTTTTTATTATTATTTTTATTTGGTTCTTGTTGTTTCTTTATTTGTAATTTCCAGATTCTAGTTTAAATGTTTGATGGCTTACAAATCTAAGATCAAGAAACCTTAGATAGAGAGTCATTGTGCTTTTTGTTTTAGGACCATGAGAACCTTTTTTCATATAACAACCATTAAGGTGAGAACAGCAATAGTCTTGCAACTTTTATCGTCATATGGTGCATTAGTATTTACCAGTGGTTTTATATCATCTAATCATCCACAAGTGTAGGGTACATCGGGGCTACACGCAAAAGCCAAGGTGGACTCTCTCCCTTAGATGGTTGTGACTTGTGATTGAGTTTTTACATAATTCAAGTAAATATAAATGTGTGAATGGGTTGATGAATTTATCTTTTTCTTAAAAGAAACATCTTAATTTATCTTTTCATGAGCGGATCCAATGTTACTAATATTACAGATATTTGGCTTTGCATGAATTGAGTTGTGTTGGGCATTGAAAGCTAGAGTAGTTTCAGATGGTTTCTTTCTATATGCAATTCTTAGAGCTCCATATATAATTACTGTTATGTACTTGGTACTGAAGTTATATGCATCTATTTCTTGTATGAAGTGATCGAGCATATGAATGGTTTTTACTTGACCGCAGGTCTGGCAGATGAGGACCGGACCACGCCTACTAGCCCTCCCCTGTGCTAAAGGTTGCAGATTGTTACAGCCAACGTACAGGTTTGGATCATTATCAGACTCTCCTTATGTTCCTCTGGAAGTCTTTTTGTTGAACGGAGACTCGGGTCAATTGTCAGTGTTGAACCGTTTTCTTAATTGAAAATTTTACATAGTTCAATCTTTGTTCTGAATTTGATTTCTCTGCCTGCAACTTTGTTTGCCTCCCTTAGGACCATAAATTAAGGTTCCATGAAATGTATGTTGTTGACAGAATCCATTCCTCATTTCATTGTAGAGTAAAGCTAGTAAATGACAAAGGAATGGCTTAATTTGATAAAGAAACTTGGCTCCTTGTTTCTATAAATGCAAGGTAAAAGAAACTTCCTACTTTTTACCTGTCTATAACTGGCATGAAATGGCAGAGATGACGCATTCATTCTATTTATATATGCAAAACATAGGCTTCAAGCCAAATCATAGGAAATCGCTTGTAATAAAAAGGAGATCAAATGCTAGTTTGTTTTTATTCCGATCTTGTGAATCCATCTTGTAAAACTCCTATGCCAATCTCTCTCAACCATTCTCACGAACCAACACAGTCTTCCAGTCTTGAAAACGATGTAACCCGGATAAAGGCTGTGGCAAAACCTTCCTCTTCCCCCAGCTTTGATGTCGGTGCCCTTGGATCCTCGTCATTGCCACATTTCTTTGACAGTGGGAAGCCGCACAAAGCCAAGTTACCGGCATAGGAATCATTATCGAAAGTGTTAAATTTATTCCCAACTGGAATCGGTCTGACAAAATTATTTTGGGACGAGTTTATCACTTCCAGAAATGTTAGTATGGTCTACTCGGCAGGAATTCTGCCACCAAGCTTGTTTGATGAGAGATAACGATTCAAGTGCTGCTATACTTCCGAGCGACGGCGGCAGGGGACCAGTTAGGCTACTATGCGAGAGGTTGAGCACCAGAAGAGAACAAAGTTCAGCAAGTACCTCAGGGATTTGTCCATCGAACCGATTGTTTGAAAAATCAATGAGAGTGAAACCAATACTTGATGACTTCTCCAGATCAAGCTCCATTTCCAACCTTTTCATGTTTAATTTTATAATTATAATTGCTTTATATTTGACTGCGTTGCAACCTTCGCAATCAGCAATACACATAACATCTGGAGTAGCTCGACCACATTTTATCGTTCGAAGATAATCTACAACTTTCATTGCCCCCAAAATCGGGAAGAATGTTGTTGGCAAGGCGCTAGTGAACTCATTTCGAGAGAGATCAATCACTTGCAAGCTTAAAAACCCAGAGGTAGCCTTGGATTTGTGCAGGCCACCATAAAATCTATTACAGCGTAGGGCAAGAACTTGCAGGTCTGGAAGACTGAGCTGATGGGGAAAAAGATCATTTAAGTTGTTATTTGCTACGTTCAAAAAACGTAACGAAGTACAATTAGCCTGTGCTTTATTTAGTTATTATTTTATCTTTAAATTGTTCCTTAATTGTTAATTTTGTGGTTGATTTATTCGTTTTGATTCATTTTCTGAACATGACGCTAGATTATGAAAATTACACTAAAATGATATAATTATATATTTTTAAATTTTCGGAATCAATGTTGGATTAGTGGACATGACTCCGGACATGATGCATCTGACGAGACGATGAGTCAGCACCTTCCGTCTATTTTTTAAATTTTATATAGTTTAGGAAGTAATAACAAATTTAACCTAGAAAACTTCTAATCTAGACGGGATTTCGGTCATTGTAAGAAGTCCAAATCATAAGTCCAGCCCAAAAGCTTAATTGCCACGTAATCTAATAATACTAATTAATGGATTAATACTTGGATAATATCAGATAATTAATGTTTAATTTTTGTTCAGGTCACTAATACAACCAATAAATAGACGAATTCTAAGAAAGAGAAGTAGAAGAAATTTTCTCCTTTCGAATCCGTACTTTCCTTTTTCTTTAATCCGAACAAAGAATTTCAAGAGCTTGCAAAAATGGCCGGAATCGGACCTTTGACTCAAGACTGGGAGCCCGTCGTGATTCGCAAAAAAGCCCCAAGCGCCGCGACCAAGAAGGATGAGAAAGTCGTCAACGCCGCCCGTCGAGCCGGCGCCGAGATCGAATCCGTCAAAAAATGTAACTTTTCCCCCCTTTTCTTTTGGGGAAAAAATAGAAATACCTAATATAATTTGCATTTTTTTAATCACGATTAGGGTTACTTTTTTCCGATGATTGAGAATAATGAAAATCTGTTTCTTGTGAATGGGAATTTGCAGCGAATGCTGGGACGAACAAGGCAGCATCTAGTGGTACTACTTTGAATACAAGGAAGCTTGATGAAGAAACTGAAAATCTAGCTCGTAAGAAATACTTTATTCCCTTTCGTTCCATCCCTCATTTTTATCATGTAGTAGTCGAATTAGTTGTTCAATATTGCTTTAAGAGATCAATTATGCTGGTATGAGTTTATTTGCATAAACTTGATGAATTACCTGATTACATGTTCCCGTGATCTCCTTCGATCTCCTTTTGTAAGAAGTGAGAGGTAGGGACGACGAATGAATTTATGTCAGGGGATGCGATCCTTGAAGCGAGATGCTCTTCTCATTTACATAATCTGCTATTATGATATGACCCTAAGCCTAGCCTCCAAGTGTTTGACCTGCTTTTAAAAAACTAATGAACAGATGAAAGAGTGCCAACAGAACTGAAGAAAGCCATCATGCAGGCTCGTATGGATAAGAAACTCACCCAGGCTCAACTTGCCCAGGTTTCTCTCTTCACCCATGTGTAGTATGCTGATGCTTATTCCCTAAGAGTGTTACAGGTCTGTTAAGTTCTTTCATTGAATCTTTCATGTCATCCTACAGATGATCAACGAGAAGCCTCAAATCATACAAGAGTATGAATCCGGAAAAGCTATTCCTAACCAGCAGATAATTGGTAAACTTGAGAGGGCACTTGGTGCGAAGCTGCGAGGGAAGAAGTGAGGAGCCTTATGGTAAAGTTAAACATAACTCGAATATGGCGTCCAGTGTCTGAGTCCTAAAACTTTGTGATGTAAATAAATGTTTGCTACCGGTACTATGCTTAGTGTGGAATAACGGTGTCTTCGACTTTGTCCGATGACTATGACTACGAAGTTTGTGTTCTTGAATGTTACACGATATTTATTGGTATGAAAACCTTGGAAAATGCCTTTTGAAGTCTCTTTTCCAAATGCTTCTAATTTTGCCTAACTGATCAAGAAGCAAGGAGCGGAAAAACAGAATAAACGAAAGAGATGAATTATCTTTTCCTAACCTCAAATTTCAAAGCATAGTAACTGTAAGAAATGCTTGCAGCCAATATTAACAGTAAGACATGTTTGCAGCCAATAATTTCAGTTAATGTTACTAGATACAAGAGAAACATGTACATGATTTGCTTTGTCTCACTAAGCCAAGGCTGTCTAGGAGATTTGAAAGTGACATTTTAAAAACACTATACTTAACATGCAGAACAACTTGTTTATATATATATATATATATATATATATATATAGTACATCGACATAGAATCACTCACAAGCCAGTTTTGTACCAAAGCTTGTAAGGCAGATGGCAAAAGCAAGAAAAGCTGACAAGGGCTGCCTATAATCCATGGTGAATGTATCATCCGCTACTTTACCAAACTGGAGAACAGTTTCCTCCTCTTCTTTCCCTCCCGGTTGGCTCTGCTCCACAGTTGCAGCCAGCTGAAAGTTTTTCACAGATGCTACAGTTACCCGACCGTGGAAATTCAAGCACCAGCACTGTAAATGTTCATGCCATCTTGGAGCTTTGTTCCTCAAAGTTGTATGGCCGGATACATCATGCTCTGGCATTTTCATCTTAGTGTTATCTAAATGCCTGTCATCAACCATATCTTCTGGCAAAGGGCACTGTATTGAGCAAATCATCCTCCTGGGACCTCTTGATTTCAAGAGATTGAACTTGTAAGACACTTGCCCAATCTCAAAATTGCCAGCTGAAACTTGGGGGCAGATTTGCTTACTTGCAAATCTGCGACTTGATCTGCTGCTGGAGGGCTTTGCACCACTATGTGGCGGCTGACTATCATAGATTTTAAAGTTGGTACCTAGAAAATCCGAACTACAAAGATTTTGAATTTGTGTGTCAGCTAAAAATTATACACTGAACCATAAAGATTAGATTTTTATTGTAGTAACAAGAAAAGAAAGTAATGGCATCATGAATATTGTTCCTTAAATATCCTGAAGAGATTTTAACGGCCACCGCATAGAAGTTTTTATTCCTTAAAAAGGTGTATAGTAAAATGTAAATTGTAATTCTATAAAAAGCATATCCAAAAAGCAGATCCTGTAAACAGAGTTCCAGCAAGAGAGAGCACAGGATATGAGCCACGTACCTTAACTTCCCGACATAGGCATTACTGCCTTGAGATAGTTCATTTGGATCAAGGGATATAATATACTCAATATGAGCACCATGTCGATATCTTCGTGCTGCTAATAGAAACTTCCCCTTGTCGGTGAATGCTGCCAACATCAGGAAAAGATTAAATAAGGTATAGATTTCAACCACTGACAAGTAGGGTCATCCACTTGCATGTTGGCCAAAAAGATAACTGCTAAAGATTGGTTAAACCATAATAAACCCTACCACATGCTCTGATTAACTATCGAAAGACAAAAATGTCTTGGTTGGTTTATAAAGAAAAGGCAACCTATATAGCTTTGCAACTGGTAGCATCGTCTTTGAGGAAAAAGAATAAATGATAGAAGACTGATTGTAACATACTTAAATCAGGCAAAGATATGTAAGGTGTAAAATTATATTGGAAATAAGATTTTAAACTCTGCACTTGGTAGTAACAAAATGACACAGGCATCTTTACTAAGGGAACCGTTAAATATATAACTGAAAGGAAGGGAATCGTTGTTATCCTAGCATGTTTTCCATTGCCCAAATTTGCCACTTCTAGAAAGAAAACATCACTACTCTGCATCTCTGAAGATGGAAAGATATTGAGAGCGTAAAAGAGAGAGAGTGGGGTGCAAAGAGGTTGCATAATCAGATCCTTACGACCTGAGTAATAGCTCCATATGCCTGTGTCAACAACATAACCAACACAGATATCAACCTGTCATCATGCCGAATACAATGCCACCACACCTAAAGAAGACTAGTGAGACCAGAAACTTGAAACATATCAAATTGTTTAGCGATCCATATCTTCACTCTCAGAAGCCACAATCATGATTTTGTTATGCTTATCACAAGTTATTACGGAAAACAACACAATTTTTTTTAAAGAAAAACCCAGCCACATGGAGAAATGAGTCCAAAGTGTAATAGCATACAGATTAGAAGCAATCACAGGAGACTTATCCACACTCTTCAAGAACTGGATATAAGAATGTGAAGGCGAGTTCTAGTAAAACAACATTAGCAAGTTAGCATCCACAACCATTTGTTTTCAAGAGAAAATGGTGAGCAGACTGGTATCATCACATTAAAAAAACCCAACTCTAAGATGATAATGTGCCATGTATAGAATAAACAAGTCCAGAGGGCTCAATGGTGTGTAAGACCGCTAAGAAAATTGAAAATCTGTCTAGACAATTATAGAGATTTTGAAAGGTTGAGTCCATGTATAACTTAGTCAAAGGTATTAGGTTAGAAGTCCAAAGTTTTGCACCTACCTAAATGGAAGTCAAAAGTCAATTTAAGACCTTTGACAAAGCAGATTATGTTCCTTTTTACCCTTTTTATTTCAGCATCAGTCTAATTAACACGCCCTCGTCAAGTTTTGCTTGTGAAGAAAAAGAAGTACTTACATGATGAAAGGGCAAGATACAGGAAAAACGTTGAGTTTTTTTGTTCCGCTTTATAATACACTGGTTTGGAAACTCCAGTGGACCAGGCTGCATAGCAAAAGAGAATAAAACCATCAACTCCAAAAGTTATTGACTTATTCATCGATTTATAACTCTAAATCCAAGAAGCTTTTTATATTCGTAACCAGCAACTGCAAAACAGCTCAAATTCTGTAAAGATCCAAACTAGTAGCAATAAGCGAATACACTTAATGATGACAAAGGACAGAAATTCTACTTTATTTATTCTCAATTCGGGTAATTTGAAAATGTCATTTTTATTCGAACTTTGCACCTCTATACCTAGTACATTTCCCCTATAATACAAAGAAGAAGTACAAACTAATTCCCTAAATTAGATACCAGGAACAAAAGGCATCAATCAATAAGATCTATCAGTAAAGAAAATTACAATAAACTATAACAAATGAACCCCAAAAAAGACTAACTTTACACCAATTCCCCACAAATCATCCCAACTCGCAAACAATCCAAATCCTAAAAAAAATAAAATTAAGCTACCCTAAACTGCAAATATTTACAACCTTAATGAAATTTATACATGCTACCTTAAAACATTTGTACCAGATAATGAAATTATATCTCAATTTCAATTAAAAACAAACAAAAAATTGAATTACCTGCTTAAGACAGGAAGGGAAAGTGATTTTGCCGCTATTTTGAGGAGAAGCCTTAACGATCTCTCTAGTAACTTCTCTCCACTTCTTACACACGCAAGCGCAAGCAACCACGTCTTTCCTCCCAGGCCACATTTCTTCACTCGCTTCCACGCGCTCCATGATCTCAACTAACAGCTCCGGCAGCAACGTCGACCACGAATCCCCTCCATCCTCCGGCATAAACGGATAAGAATCAGAAGACTCCGGCTGATCCTCCCTGGTCGAGACCGTTGCTAACGCCGCCGTTCTGGCCGATGATTGCCTCAATGACCTCGAGAATCTCCCTGAAATGCACGAGGTTTTCCTAAACGAAGAAGGAGACGACATCTTTTCAAAGACTTCAAAAAAAATATTCTTTTCGGCGAAATTTGCTTTTGAGAGAAGAGATTCAGAGGTAGGGGATTTTATGCAAAGAAAATGAACACAAAAAAGGGAAAATGGAGGAGAAAATGATGACGGTTGCAAAAATGACAGCGCGGTGAGGGAAACCAACAAGGCCAAACAATATCGGGAGTTATTGAGACGTGGCAGTAAATGATTGGTGGTTATGAAATGTAGTTCGTGACAGTTGTTCTTGTTTTAAATCTTGACTCGGTCGCTTTGAAATCGGTAATCCTAAAATGTATGTATTTTGTTCTGCCTGTCTTTAGAACTTTTCAATTTTTTAGTTGTCATTTATTTCTATTTTTAATCGATTTTTCATTATTTTATTATCATCTCGATTTTAAGATTTCGTCTTGATTAATTCAGACCGACTCGTATCGCACACTTGATTTTGGTGGGTGATTCTCTCAACAGGTATTTTTTTGCATACACAAAAGCTCAAACTCGACATATTATTTAAGCAATATCAAACTGCTTATCACTTGTACCAACCCAAATTATTATTTTTAATATTTTCAAAACAGTAAAACGAATTTATGCTGAAAATTATATATTGTATTATCGCTTGGTAGCTGTTTTTCTCAAAAAAAAAATAATTTACTTGTTAAATAGCATCATATCCTATTAAAACTACAGTTCTGCTTCTTTTATTGTATTTAAACTTAATATTTATTTTATAGACTTTAATTCAAAATAATTTAATTTCCATGAACTATCTCACTCTTGCAAAAATCATTCACTAGGAAAAGGAGCATATGTTTAAGATCAAATAAAAAAATAAATTTGAAATGGTAATTTTAAAAGAAAATAAAAGATAAAACCGAAGCAATTCGAATCCTAACTCTTTGAATAATATTAAGGGTATATTACGCAAATGGTCATTAATATTTGAGTAAGTTTTTTTCTATTGATGTTTCAAAAGTCACAAATCGATCACTAACGTTATCGTTTATTATAAATCGGTCACTCGACGTCAACAGTTTTTACTGTGAGTGACAAAAAGCTGATGTGGCGTGTTAACTACTGACTTGGTACCTTTTGACCACCATTTGACCAATCTTCCTCTTCAATCCCCACTCTATCACATAGTAGGTTAAGGGATTCCTTAAAAGGTAGTTTATTTGTTAGTTGCGTTTCATGGGATTGAGTTCTGGTGTGAGATAAGTTGAGGTTCTGTGAGCAAGTTCTTTCGAAAGGGATAGTTGTTGATTTGCTGGTTTGGCATTCGTCCGTACCTAGGTGGGGTTCAGTGGTCTTAAGCGCAGATGGGGCGTGTAAATTGCGATACGTTGAATGTTTGTCTGTTTTAGTTCTTCAGTGGGTTTAGAATATGTTTGTTCGTGTATTCAGTTGTCGTGTTGTAGCTTTACGTTGTACTCTTTTACTCCAATTAAATTTAGGGAGGTACGCAATTTAGTTTTCAGAATTGTTTTTTAATCCTAAAAGTAAAATTATCTTATAAAATCAATACCCTTTTGTTCACTTAAGCAGCTGATGGAATGGCTCAGTTGAGTCCTGCATACACAAATTAAAGAACAATAAAGACACACAAATCAGTTTTTATCTTGCTAGTCTTAGCAATAGATTAGGTAAAAACAAATCAACATTACCATTTTTTCATTACAGTTTAAAATTTATTAAATTTTATGTGTGGTCTTAGTTTAGTATATATAATAATATTCTTTTATTAGTTTGGATGATTATAAAACAATATATGTTTAGAATGTTCTCGGTCCATTTCGCTACTTACGTCATCGAGCTTTGGTTGATTATCATTCTCCAACATCAGTCCAAAATGAATGTGAGGGAAGCGAGCCCACTGCAGTTAGGACACAAAAACAAACGTCTGTTGATGATTAACTTTATGTAATCAAAATTCCCTTACACCTAGAAGAGAATTAACGTATTCGAACTCACGACTTTTAAGATATTGTAATAACAACGATGACAACCATAGAATGACTCAATCGGTCACGACTAGTGAGAAACAGATTCGAACTTACATTCTTAGCAGCGGTGCTAAATGCCTCCCTGTGAATGATATCAGGATTGCTCAGCTTGATCCTTTGGATCTCCTCCCTATAAACATACCACATGTTTTTAGTTTATAATCATGTATTAATCAATAACAAAATCGGTATAGTTAATGATCAAATTATTTGATGAACTGATTGTACAATGAAGGAGCCCTATGCCTCTTGTCAGGAGTTGGGAAAAGAAAAAGGGGAAATAGTAGTCTATGAAACCCTAAACCCTAAACTTAGAATCCAAATGTTAATGAAATGGATTAAACACAAGTAATACTCACGTCGATTAACAACCCTTTCTGGAGCGATAGTATTTAAAGTTGTTGGTCGCTTCTGTGGTAGCTGCTTGTTCTTGCTTCTCGAGGAAGAACCTAGATCAATTCTGTACTCCGACGAGGTGTAGTTAGGCACCTTAACAACATATCAGAATTTAAATTACCATCACGAAGCATGTCAATTATATAATATTGATGCAACAAAGGGAAACCCTAAAACTCTGCATTGCTAATTAGCAGCTCCTAGGGTCTTTTTCAGCTTAGAAGCCCCAAGTTTCAAGGCCCCAAGAAAAACTATAGGATTTTCCTTGGAAAAGAGAAAAAAATCCCGGAAAACCTGGATCTACAAGAAAATGAAATTGAAAAAGAAAACCTGAATATCCTTTACCCTCGATTGAAAGGAAGCTGCCAAGTTCACTGAACAAAGATTGGTGCACTGCCCACATCGGACTGTTACCGTTTCAAACGAGCTGCTGCATGGAACATTCACCTGCAGAAAATCATGTACAGATTTTAGCTCATGAAAATAATTTGCATGTTAAAAAAAATTAGGGCTTTTTTTTTGTCTAAATGGAAAATATAAATGAATAACATGGGATCTTTCCATATCCTTCAAGCAAAAGAAGATAAATGTTTTTTGTCTAAAATTCCACTCAGTACAAAATCTAGGGCTTTGTTTGATATTTTTTATTTTTATGGGTACACTGGCTGGACTTTCTCATCGTTCGAAAGCATCTTTCCTACATTAAAATGGAGCCTTTGAGGAAGACAGCAGAGCTAGTCTCTTCCGTTTTCCATTATATTAAAAGGAAAAAAGAAAAGGAAGCTTTTGGGCTTCGCAAAAAAGAAAACAAAAACATATCAAAGAAGATGGTCCCCTATTCTAATAGGGAAAAGGTTAAGGTAATCAAGGATCAAAAATATGAAGGAGATGTCATCTTCATCCAATAATGTTGTTTTCTCTTGAAAAAATGAATTAAAGACCCATTTTTAACAACTTGTCTGAGATTCAGAGGGTAAGATACGCAAAAGAGAAAGAAATTAAGGGAACTTTTGACTTTTCTGCAAAAGACTGAGAAAATAAGTCTTGGGATGGTGACCTGATTTCATTACAAGAAAACCCTAAAATAATCATACAGAAGAGAAACCCAACAAAATAAGATTCTCTTGCAAAGAAAATGAAAGAAGAAAGCTTTTGAAAGTTTGGGTCTTTGATATAAACTGAAACTGGAAACTTTATGAGCAAAAACAACTTTGGTTTATTAGTTTATATTATACATATTGAAGTACTGAAGACTTGGCATTCTTTTGCAGTAACAGAAACTGACATGATGATGATGATGTGTATTAGATTATATATAAAAAACATTAAATAAGAAGCGGAAAAGGGTTTAGGATCAAAATTAAATACCGCAAGAATGATGTTGCAAAGGTTGCAAGGGATGTAGCAGAGCTGTTCTGGTGCAGAATTGTTGGAGCTTGACATCTTATTTTCTCTGATACCAAACAGTTTTCTTTAAAAAGAAAAAGGAAATTGCTTTGAATTAAATTTAGGAGAAAGAACAGAAAAAGAAGGGTGATGAAGAGAACAAATCAAACGCATACACAAAGTACATAATTATAAGATCAAGTCATCTAACAACACAAGAATTACATCAAAGAGAAAGAAGAAAAGGGAAAGAAGATTAAATTGAAGAAACACTGAGCAAAGAAGGTAAAGGCAGGCTGAGAGAAATGGGATTTGTAGTGCCATGGCAGGCAGCAGCACTAAAAAAGAGTACACGCATTCACTCGTTAATGTTTTCAAAGACATCATAGTCAGTCACTCAGACACTCACTCTGAAGAACGAAAGCAATAAAGAGAAATGGTGAATGGGGCCATGGGAAAAAGCAGACAAAACAACATGGGGTTAGGGTTAGGAATCAACTTACAATTCAAAGGTGGTTGCTGGGTTTTTTTTTTCTTCTTTTCTGCTAAAACAAAATAAAACCTTTCACTGACATATTTGAATGAGAAATCATTGGGAATGCTCTTCTTGTTTATATAATGAATGAAATGACATGAATTGTTCTTTACTTGAATTATGGGGGGCTTTGGGTTTGATTCAGAAGACATATTCACAAAACACATGCAAATGTTGTAATATTTAGGGGACATGGTTACTTTATTCGACACTATAAAGTGTGTTCCAAAGTGTCCTATGCAAGGTATTGATGGAATACCAATGGACCCTCTTTTAGTTGGCTGTGAACTGAACCTTGATTCGTTATCTTATCAGATTTTGAACTCTCATTAATAAACACCAAATCCAAGCCGAATTAACTAGCTTTCCACAGTTCAAAATGCCTTTTTTTATTTCTGATTATGCATCAGATTTGACCAAGAATCATTGTACCGCAAATGCAGAACGAGACAAACAACTTTTGCAATACAAATTTTCGGACATGTTGGATATGGAAATTTCTTTATACATTAACGAGGGAGAGAGAGAAGTTAATGAAGTGAATAATATAAATTAAAAAAAGTGGGTTTGACCCGTCGTTTTCGATCCCAATGCTTATACAGTTCAGCGATTCGCTCTGAGCTATAAAGGAAAAAGGGGGCTATTAGTGTCTCAGACTGGGAATCCTGAGAGAGATGAACGGTAGACAAACAAATGTTCATACTTTGAGGGGAGCCGAATGTCGAAACCATATCATGTTTGCTTTTCATTTAGACAAAAAAGTACCCATTAGATATATTTCCAAACTTAGTTATCAAGTCCGAACCATGAAAAAGTTTGAGTTTAATTTGGTCCATGCAAATAGATTTGTTTGGATAAAATGATAATTTAGTTTACATTATTGAAAACTTGATAAAGTATTAATTCATTGAACAATATCGATCTTTTAAGTAAGATTACAAGTTCAAATCTTGGTATTTGTGAATGAAGAATCTCTTCTTTTATTCTTTTGAATAGTCTATTATGATTATAAGATATTATTTATTCAAATTTTTCATAACAAACTGACAACACACACTATAGAGACGCAACCACTCAAAATCAAACATCTAGAGAAAATAACATTTCATTTTATCACTTAATGAAATTGATGAGTTCAATTATTAAATCATTTTGAAGAAGCTTAGTTAGAAAGAAATGTAATTAGTTCTATGTTAATACTCAATATATCTCAAAACCCTATGAATTTAGGATTAATTCTAAAATAAGTGCCCAAACTTTGTTTGAGTCATTCAGGTATCTAACGTTACATACGTTACCACTTTAAGTGCCCAGGTAGTAACCTCTGTTAATTTTCTTCATTAAGTGAAATGTGTCACATTTTGATAATTTTTATTTTTTTAAAAATATTATTATATTTATGAAAAAATATCAATTTCTTTTAAATTACAAAAAAACCAAATCCCAAACTTTAACCCTAACCCGCCAACATTACCCTTGCCAAATAGGACCATCGTCGTCAACGTAGTTCCTGTCATCTTCCTAGTCATACGTAGCCGTAGTTATCGTCGATTGCCCATCAGGATCACGTGGGGTTGCAATTTTCAACGTAGGGTTCACGAGATACAAAACATCGATTGGTCACGATTTAATAGGGTTTTTTATCGTTGAGGGAGGTGAGGTCGGGTGGACTTCCGTCGACGAAAAAATGTGACAGTTGGTGTGAGTTTAGGGGTTGAAATGAGGGTTTTCAAAGTTTTTAGGCTATTTCAAAAATTTTGTATTTTTTAAATATAATTTTATTTTTTAAATTTTAAATAAATTTTTAAAATTACCAGAACTTAAACGTGTTCTTTAATGACAGTTACAACTGGGGAAGTGATAATATTTATAATGTTAGGTACATGGATGATTAAAAAGTTTGAACACCTATTTGAGAAAAGTGATATAATTTAAGTACTTATTTTATAATTAATCCATGAATTTAACATAAATATCATTGTTTAAACCTAGAAACACCCAACTAAGGAAGAAAAAGGAAAGGGAAGAAAGTACATACAGTGTATAATATCTATCAATGGGATTTGAGAATAGGTCAGACCTCACCTCATGAAAAAGGAATCACTCAACCTATTCAATCAAATCTAAGCCATCAACTCTACCAACACAAATATTCCAACGGCGGCTCATGAATAATTTAATTAGCCTCAGGTCTACAGGTTTTGTTTATGAACTAGGGCTTTGGTTTTCATAAAGAATAATTCTGACAAATTGTCGTATGAAGAAACACAGCCTAGGACCTGAAGAACTGGTTAAATGGTCATATATTAACAGTTGTTTTCATTAAAACTATGTTTAAAACAAGATAAGCTGAAAACTTTGAGATTTGCAGATGCTAAAGAGGGCTAGCATTTACGCTATAATGGATAAAGAAAACCTCAGCCCCATCACATGACTTTCACGCAATTTCTTGGCTGCCATATCCTCAAAGCTGCTACTTTTACAACACTATTAGGCATATATATAGACAAGACCCACCTACAATAAAAGTTTTATATTAGATCTTAGTCCATATATATAACATAATATAGAGATAGATGTAAAATTTTATATTAAAATATTAATTTATAAAATTTTAATGAAATACAAATAAATTATTAAAAAATATATAAATAAAATACTTAAATTATATAAATATTTTAAAATATTTAGGGGACCATCGCGTCCCGTCAGCCTGGTCAGTAGTTCCCATAATATATATAGACATCTATTGCTTTCCATAGATTAAGGGTCCCATGGATGCCTAACCACCGCACCATAAAATCTTAAGTGATAAATCCTTGAAAAGTGAAGTTTCATACACTTACCCCAACAATCATGTAACTCCATCTCTCTTTCTCACAGTTGATGCTTCATTATGTCGTTATGCATGGATTTGTTGTGTACACTTAACCATTATCTAAATCTCTATGTTTTTATCATCTTTATGTATATGTTTTGGTACTTGTAAACGAAAGTGTCAAGACATATTACCGTGAACACCGACTGATTGAACACCCTGATCTAAGAAATGCCTTGAATCAATATAATTTTGTTCACTTTTAATCATAATTTAACCTTTGGTTATATCTGTTTCATTTTTTTATTGTCTTTCTTCATCATTTATTTTATCTTAAAAATTATAGAAATCAAATTATAGAAATATCGAAGTGAAAAAAAAAAGGTTTTTAAGTGTCAAAGTGAAGCAAAAACAGCTTAAGTGTTAAATGAAGCAAAAAACAGTTCAAGTGTCAAAGTGAAGGCACAGATGCAAGTTAAGAATGAAATCGCAAATTTAATATTTTAAAAATCTAATTACTTACAATTATAATAATAATCAGTAATCAATAAAGTCTTCACTAGAATGAAAAAATCAAGAAATATACATACATATATACATACATACATAAACAGAACATAGAGATGATGAGAAGACTCAAAATCCAAGAAGCTTCATTGACAATGAATCATATAAATCGATTGACCTTTTTAGTTCCGATTTGGATCAAGGTTGGAGCTAAAAATTAAGTCATATGTGATCTTTAGTTACACCTAATGTTGGTTTCGGTACATTGATCAAACCTTGAACGCCTAAGACCTAAGACTTCTTTTCAACTAATACCTTAGTCTCTGGATCAAACACCCTGTTTCATTACCTTATTTGAACTGAAATCATTCGTCAGCGGGTTCAATGGCACACTCCGAAGTTTCAAAGGATCTGTGTGAAGAACCCGAAATTTATACATCCTTGTATAGCAATTGATATCTCGGTATTCGTTCTGAGGGTAGAGGGCAATGAACAATCAACTTGCCCTTCATGGCTCCCCTAAATATTGCCTGCAAGGTCAGATACGGAAGATTAACTCCAAGAGAAGACGTCAACATAAGCGTAAAAGTAGGAATCCAGAATTCAATACCAGCAGTTATTACTTTTGTAGCAACTGCCTATCCATGAAAACTACCATGAGGAGAAGATTTCTTAGCACAAACAACAAAGAAGACAGTTCACAACGAGAAAAACATTAGACACTACTAACAAGAAAGCTCACTGTTTCTAAAACTCACACAGCCTAACTTCTGATGCTTACAACCCAAGATCTCCAAAGCACGGACAGACATGCCAACATGATACTTTTGAAAACATATATATATATGCATGTATGTAGGAAACAACATGGCTGAGATACAGTATGGGGGTCTCTTATTATTCCCTTTCTTAATACCAGCACAGCATGGGAGATCTTTTCTTCACCTTCTCCATCCAGTCACCGTTGCTGCAACAACATAAATTCCTTTGTTTTTTTCTCTCTTTTCTCTGTTCTGAAACAATTTACTGTCTATCGCGGTTTCCAATTAATTTTTTTTGAACTTTTTATGCTGTATCCGGCCGACCAATTCTGGTACATAGTCTGGCATGTCAAAAGTGAAATACAGGAGCTTCAACCATGTCTGTTCTTTCTAGACCAAGATAAATCACACTAACTTTCCGAACGATGACAATTTATCAGCTATTGTGCATTTCAAAAATTAGACAGTGGCAGAAGACGTACAGACTAGGAGTTGTTAACTAGGATTAGTAATCAAGTCCGACGGATAACATAAACAAAGTAATGAGATTGATAGATCATGAAATTGTTTAGGAGCTATTTAAAGCATACCTCTAAAACATCTATGAAGTCTTGCTTTCCATGAAATGCTCCCACCCATTTCGTGTGATCGGCGGTCCTAAAGCACAATAAAACAACATTAATCCAGTGCAGAAGAACCCTAACATCTGAACTAGCCTCTAAATATCTCAAATTCAATGCAGAGATCAAATTTTTTGTTTGAAAACAAGCGATATCATTACAGTTCATAGAACCCAAATTCCAAACTTAATTAAAACACATACACGTTTGGTTAATCATGCTTTTCATGTCGGTAA